GATTTGCCGCCACGATAACTTTCTTGAACGGCATCGCTCGATGAAAGAAACAATAGCTTTCCGCTCTTCCTCACTCCACCGCATATTATATATTGTTATATGTATCTGTGGTTTTTCTATTTCTCTTTTGATGAAAGGAAAAAGTGCAGAAAGGGCCAACCAAAAAAAAGCTGAACAATAGATGTTTGGTTTGTCTGAGTCAAAATAGAGCTGCAATTACTATCATATTCTGAAGGGCAGGACCGGGGAAATGAAGTAACATTTTCAACTGCATCGCTTAACCCTGATTTGGTCGGTCTCCCGGACCATTGTTACGAATGCGGGTACTGCTGTTTTCTCCAGCGTTCAGGTTGGATCACACCAACAGCGCTTAGAGTAACGATTCCCACAGGCGTATCTCTGTTCAACAGCGACTACTATGAGAACATCTTTAATGATTGAGTACTGTATGTACTTCCTCCAATCAACTCTCACCGACGAACCTACGTTTATCACTTATTTTTAATCTCCCGAACAGATGGGGTTACAAACTATGCAAACACCCTAATTATGTACATAATTCTGCTGATTTAGCTGCTTATGAGCGCCAAGACAATGATATATGCAAAAAGTCCCTAAGAATGGGTCCAAATGGGGTATTTCTGGGTTTTTTGAGGTTTCAGTAGTTGGGTCCGGGTTGGGCCTGGGACGTGCGGAAATCTACTGCAGTTGTAGGTACCATTGACCAAAGTACCCGCACCAGCAAAAGTAAAAACTAAATGAGCAAGGACCCCCTGTCCGTTCGGGGGTTCGACTTGACTAGGGTACCTATAGCAGCACGGACCTCCTATTCGTTCGGTGGTTGGGTTTGACCAGGGTGCCTTGAGCTGCAGGGACCCCCGGTCAGTTCGGGCGGTTGACTTGACGAGCGTACCCACAGCAGCAGAAACCCCCCGCTCTTTCGTGGGTTGGACTTGACCAGGCTGCCTCGAACAGGCCCCCCTGTCCGTTCGGGGGTTCGACTTGACTAGGGTACCTACAGCAGCAGGAACCCCCTGTCAGTCCGGTGGTTGGGTTTGACCAGGGTACCTACAGCAGCAGGAACCCCCTGTCAGTCCGGTGGTTGGGTTTGACCAGGGTACCTACAGCAGCAGGGACCCCCGGTCCGTTCGGGCGGTTGACTTGACCAGGCTGCCTCGAACAGGCCCCCCTGTCCGTTCGGGGGTTCGACTTGACCAGGGTATCTACAGCAGCAGGAACCCCCTGTCCGTTCGGGGGTTCGACTTGACCAGGGTACCTACAGCAGCAGGAACCCCCTGTCCGTTCGGTGGTTGGGTTTGACTAGGGTACCTACAGCAGCAGGAACCCCCTGTCAGTCCGGTGGTTGGGTTTGACCAGGATACCTACAGCAGCAGGAACCCCCGTCAGTTCGGTAGCTGGGTTTGACCAGGATACCTACAGCAGCAGGGACCCCCTGTCCGTTCGGGGGTTCGACTTGACCAGGGTATCTACAGCAGCAGGAACCCCCTGTCCGTTCGGGGGTTCGACTTGACTAGGGTACCTACAGCAGCAGGAACCCCCTGTCAGTCCGGTGGTTGGGTTTGACCAGGATACCTACAGCAGCAGGAACCCCCTGTCAGTCCGGTGGTTGGGTTTGACCAGGGTACCTACAGCAGCAGGGACCCCCGGTCCGTTCGGGCGGTTGACTTGACCAGGCTGCCTCGAACAGGCCCCCTGACCGTACGGGGGTCGGACTTGACCAGGGTACCTACAGCAGCAGGGACCCCTATCAGTTTGGCGGATCTAGTGGCAACATGTCAAATAGATCCAGGTCTTCACTCCGTTTGTTCTGGTTCAGGGGGTAAGCAGCTCACATTTCTTTGAACCCACAGGAGCTACTGAACTGCCCCGTTGGCGCTGTTGGTGCGACCAACATATTTGTTGGATATGCACCAGCTAATTAGCCAAGATCAGTTCAAGGCTACGAACGGAATCACATCCAACAGTGTCTCCGTGTTAGTTGTGTGGTTGGGCTTGACCAGGGTGCCTCCAGCAGCAGGGCCCCCTATCAGTTCGGTGGTTAGACCTTGCCCGGGGTGCCTACAGCGGAATGGATGTCGAGCCGAAGTCTGCAAACGGAATCGCACCGAGCGGGTCCTCCTGTTTGTCTGGCAGTTGACTCTTGATTCTGTGACCCAACATGCAGCAACAGAGATACAAAAAATCCGAACCGAGAGTACATCAACCAAGGTTCATTGTTCGTCCAGCGATCGAGCCCAATCTCTGGCTGAACCTGTAGTAGCAGGAATTTCAACTTGAACGGTTTGAATAACTTAATCGGGGAAGATGGGGTTTAGTAGAGTTCACAAGGTACCCTTGTGCCTTTCAGCCAATCACGGTTGTCAACGCCCAACACTGCAGGGCCCATTGGTGCGTACGCCAGAAACATCGCTGACGGCTTAGACCGGGAATCTGGTCGCTCAAAGGTCACTGACCCAAATGGCCGTCCGTGCGCCCCGTTCCTAGCCGGATCTGGTCCTCCGGAAGCTAGAGCCAGGGTTGTCACTGACCCCTGGTGAGCTCCTGCGCCGCAGAGCATTGTAGGCGCTGTGGTCTGCCGAAGGGCATGATGGTCTTCGTAGGTTACAGTATGTGTGTGTGTTTCATTTACGCTGTCCTCTCGTCGAAACGATATGCAGCCGTAGGTTACACACACACACACACACAATTTATTAACGCCCGGCGGCTAAGCCGAAAGGGCAACTATCTCTGATCTACTATACATGTCATAATATATATAGTACTGTGTCTCCTTAGAGCCCATACATAAAGCCTTGCAATATATGTCATCTCAGATGTCCGTATCGCAGCGCCGTAGGTTACAGTAGAATTCGAAAACAGTTTACCCCTCAGGAACACGCGCTTTGTTTCTCGGCTTGTACCCGAGACGGGACTTATCTTAGTGTGGTCTAGCTGTAACCAACAGTAGACTATTAGTGGATGTTAATTTACCGCTTTTCTAAATAGAGACTATACCTGTTTCAGGTACGAGCCGAGAAACAAAGTGTGTGTCCTTTAGCTGACGTCGTCTACGGACTGGAGTGATCGGTGGGCCCCTGGGACCAATCATCACATGACCCGATTGCGATAAGGCCCACGCACCTCGTCCCCGATCACCCACTGGCTCGATAGCTGGTGCGTGAGTAGTGTCAACCTCACTTCTGGGCTGCTCAATAAGATAGATGAGCTATTATAAGCTAAGCCTAGACGGTGCGCACGGGTGCCGACAACAGTTTTGTATGGTGGTAACATCTCATTACCTCCATGTCGACACTAGCAAAGACTCATAGATGATTCGCATTTTCTACGGGTCGTTGAAGCAATTATGTGATCCAGAAAGACTCCCTGAATAGCAATTGGAAAGGGATTGAGATTGAGATCGAGAATATTTAGAGACTCTGGTGCGGTCGACCCGCTGATAAATATATCATTGTACAAATTATGTCGAATATACAAATTCTCTCACAACATTCTGCCTACCGATCGTACATTTTGTATAAAGTTACATCTCTATTGTATTGAATACTTACTATATCACTGGTAGTTGGAGTGCAATATTTTTCGAAATCGGTTATACCACACTCTTACAACTTGGTTGGAAGAAACTAATTCCGAGAGTTGCGAGACCTGATTGGATACCATAATCGGAATTGGCTTTTCAGACCGCTTGCTAAAGTAGTATTTGAAGCTTACCTTACCACTGAGAGGCATGAGGCAATTGCTGCGATAATACGATGACTCATCGAATGTAACCAAGCCAATATCGTCATATTTATGCCGGCATTACAGAGCGGTGCTCCAAAAGGGATTAGCGTCTATCGGGTATATTTTCCGGTAATCAACTCGGAAAGGTGTGGAGGTATAGCCGATTTCGAACACTACTGTAAGTAGGGTCCATCGACTTTGATCAGTTGGTCTCCAACTGGATATGTTCGCTGTTAATTAGGAACTGGATCACGTTCTGCACCGAGGGTTGAGCCTGGTTGAATGAAGAATGGGTGAGTGCAGCTGCGGTTGAAAGACAACAGAATCTTGAGGCAGCTCGTTGCTTGATGGATTTTGGGCCATAGACAGTCCGTCATCTCTTCTATCGAGGTGTCTTGGCCATGTTGCATTTTATCTCACATTTCTCATGGTTTCGGGAGAAGCCTTTCTATTATATGTTGAGGTGTAAGGACCAGGAGGAATTGGAAAATGGATTCTACTCACAACCTTCTCCTTACTACCCACGAGGAGCCTTATATTATTCAATACCGTTGCCGCCTTCGGTGGAAGAGGAAGTTGTCTTGTCATACCCGAAGAGTGTTATGATAGTCCATAGTGACAAGCGGCCTCGCGAAGCCTTTACTAGCAACAGAGGGGTTGATCAGATTACCTTCCCACAAAGGAATGGGAGCCACTAACCTTTCTAGTCGGTGTTTACCACTAAATGTGCGGCCACCCCTTTTACAATCACTGCCATCTCGTCTGCTGCTTCCTGGTCCGTTCGAGTTCTACATCCTTGAATACCATCCTTGCTAGTCACCGCCGGCGGCAACGTGCCGAGGCAAATCTAGACCACGAGACCGTTCTTGGGCCTGCGCGAGTAGACTAGTTGCTCACATCTCGTTGAACGGAAACAAGGGCCAATGACATATTCCCTTTTCGCGCTGTAGTGTGACCAACATTTTCATTATAAATTTTCTTAGTTGATTGGCTAACACTGGAAACATCCCGGTAGCATGGGAAGTCGAGCCCAATTGAAAGAAAATCACTTCATTTTTCATTTGTTCAAACGAATATATTCCTTTGAGGTCAAAACCACATTTATTTCTCTGAGATAGCCTTGATATTGCCTGAACATTGGTATGTTAGCTCCGAAAAAGTCGATCGTTTTCTTTGCCCGCACCAGATAAATCAACTTCAATACAACATACGCCGTACTATCAGATACTTGCGTTGATATTTTCCTCGATCACAAGATGCTGTGGGAGGATAATGAAAAGGATGCCCTCATGCCATTCCTCAAGAAGTCACGCACACTTTCTTGGAAGAAACGAACGGCTTTATGGAATAAGAGGTTCGAAACGAAAAGGTCCTTGGAGTCACTTCGAGGACAATATAACCGTCAACGCCTTCGGGAGGAATCTTCCCCTGAACCAAAATCTCCTCGCCTATCTGGCCGCATTTCAAAACCCCAAAGCATCAGTGTTGGCAAACGGCCAACTGACCAACAGCTTCAAAATGAAAAATCTCCGGCTTCGCCAGATCTGAACATCAACGACGGAAATAACAGACAAAATATTGACTGGAACCTTTCCCTGGACGAGATATTTGGCTTTTTCTTGTGTGAGAATCTGGCTTGACCGCTGGGCTAGCAAACGAGGGCGCTAACACTCTCACAGTGGTCGCTGCCGATGTCTAATAAGCGACAAGTCAATGGAGCACTTTATCCAAAATAGCCATCTTGACGCGAGGATTTAGAGTATATACACATGCCGCTTTACATTTGTTCTGGGTGCTCAATGTGTGCTCTTTACAGTACGGTCAATTTCAAAATCAGTTTTACCTCTAATCTCACTTTCTTTATTCTTCAAGGCCCCACCTCAAACGCACTAGTCTTCATTAGCATATCTTTCCGTGGCCTTACATTTGTCCATGATCCCCCGCTTTATAGACTGCATCCTAAAATAGACTCCGTAATTTATAACACATCAGCTACACTCTTTAATTTGATCCTCGAAACCCTAGCACTAAGACCCACTCATTAGTCCAAATCCGGGCTAGGTCCGAATTGGTAATCTCCCAGTATTGCTGTCCGTACAGGTCTTCAGTGAAATACATTCGTTTCGATGGGAACGCAAGCTATCCAATCACGAGAGCAGGGCCTCGGAGATTTGGCAAGCTGTCACTTCCCTGGTGGTTTGGAATAAAGCACGACAAGAAATTGAAAACTTGGAAGTTGCCATGTTTATGATTCGTGCGAGCCTTGTATAGCAAGAAGAGAGAAGTTGGATCAGCATCCCCTCACGAGTAAATATCGTAAGAAGAATGCTAGGATTAAGGATTTTAAAGTTTTCTAAAGAGTGGAATACAAGTCCCAATGAGTCTGTAAAGAGTCAGGATTCTGGGATTTTATACAGGCCACCAGTGCAGTGGCAGCGGAATTGGTCAAAACCCTGGCTCTTTGGGGTTTTTGGACCTAGGCTTTGAACCTCCGCATGGGTCCCTACCTCGGAACCTCGAACCTCACCTCAAGAGGTGAGGTTCCAACTTGACTAACCTCCAACCGCCCATTAACCTCCATCGACCCGCATGAACCTGCATATACATAATTACTTGACGCCTTTCCTCTTTCGGCTGGATAAAATTGATGATTCATCTCTGTTTTTTTACAGCCGTTCTGTCAACCTATAGACTTTTCACTGAATACTCCATCAACATAATGAAATATAAAGAGATAGTCATCGAAGTAAATAGGAGGCGTGGTCACCTACAAGTTATAGGTAATATTCGATGATATCGACGTGGTGGGTTGTCAATAGAGGTCATCGATAAAATAGCATGTAAAGTTGTAGATATATATATCGTAGACACTGTAAAGTATGTGTATCTTTATCAATAGAACTACTATTCTTCAAAAAAACTATAAAGATGCAGTTCAATTCCCCTCATTTTAATATCATTCAAACCGTTATATCTTCTTCTATCACTCTGTCCTTTAGGGTTCAGGTTAACTGATCTAGATATACTGTGAACCCGGTTCAAAGGTCGTAATTGTTAGACTTAGACGTTCTATTTTTCCTACATTGAGGTCCCCATTGAGGTTCGTTGAGGTTCGCTGAGGTTCGTTTAGGTTTATTGAGGTTCGTTTCTATAGTGATTCACTATGCTAGCGAATCAGATATAGATAGGGCTTTATAAAAGTTGATAGATCAATTTGAGAATTATAGAACAGGGATAAACAGATGCCCCAAGAAGACCTCGTAACTTCTACAGAATAACGTTAGTAAGTTTCTTATTATCTTCCCTAAGTTATACTGGTTTACTGAATTTATCATGTCTCAGATTACCGACGGCTACGGCTACGCATCATCTAGCTTCGAAGGGTTACCGCTAGACGCGCTGCAATACCTTACCCCTGACGATACGCTATCCCAACGCGAAAGCCAGTTTGATTCAGTTCTAGACCTTCCAGACAACCAAGTCCGATCTCGCGCAGGACCTCGGGCCCCAGACACCCTTACGCGAATCAAGCCAGATAGTATTAACGAGTATATTGTCTTTATTACCGATATGTCTGCGGAATTCGTTAAGTGGTGGCTTCAAACCCATTTTGGTAAGAAGAAGCGGCTAAACTGGGAGGTCAGCCGTCGCGCAGACTGCTGGACTGGTTTCAACAAGTTGCACATACTCAAAGATGGAAAGCCTGGCGTTATGTGCAATCGGTGCCGTACAGTTCTTACGCATCCAGCTACAAATCATACTGGAAACTCATCGATGCAGAAGCATCTTGATGGGCCAAGGTGTCGACAGCGAATTACGAAGAAGGGGAATATCCAGCAACTACTCAGCGACGCGGTATGTTCGAAATAGCCTATATTCAATATTAGTACTAATAATAAATTCACTATCTGTTAGGCCGAGAGAAGACCAGCGCCTATCTTTACCCAACAAATATGGGAACAGAAAATCCTAAACCTAATCACGGTATCACATTTACCCTTCCTCTTCGTCGAGCACCACGAATTCCATGACCTCATTTCCTATGCACGGCTAGCACCTACACCACCGAGCGTTCCATCAAGAAAGGTGATTAGCGACCGCCTCCGGGGTTTCGTTACAGAGTATCAACAAGAGACACTACAGTACAACAGCTCCCATCTGGTGCAAAAATGTCGATTGCGCTTGACTGCTGGACTTCACCATTCAAGCACGCATTTATGGCTATCACAGGATACTTCCAACCAATAGCTGTCCTTCATGCTGTCTGTCCCCAACCAGATGTAAGAGCAGTGTATGCGCGTACTGGGACTTCAGTATATTTACCATCGGGCTCGACCTAGAAGACAGGAGATGCTACGTAATTGTCCATAGACCAGTTACATATGAGACTGCCTTTGGAAGATATGCTATAACCTATCCTGAGACAGCTTGTTCTACTGAAGTATCTGTTTTCTCATCCAACGCGTCTAATAAATGCACAATCAAGGTGACAGCATTCCAGAAATACGAATCGCAGGAACGCCTTTGCCTTCTATGATGGAGGAATTTTTTCAATACTGATGAAAACAATGGAGAATGCTTCCTCAACTCGCTGATGCGAGTCCGGGGTGAATCTCTGAACGCATAATTTAATGAGGTTAATGTATTGTGGTTGAAGTTTTCCAACATAGGAATCCTTGAATTGGACAACGAATTATCGGAATAGAGACTTTGAGGAAAATTCTGATTGCGTTTGAAGCTTTTTCCATATCTCTGGTTTCGTTTCGTCCATACATGCTTCCGCTTGGCGAACAGATGCCACATTAGATTGGGTAAGGCTCGTGAGACATCATGTACTGACGCCAGAAAGAGTTTCCTAATTTCAGTCTTCCTAGTTTTTTTTCTATACGCTGCGCTGGCGAGAGATTTGGAGCAATTCTCTTTACGGGTATATTGAGTTGTTTGCTCTAGTGCAGCCATTGCACGCACCAACGCTTGAGTCCGTTGCCTCGGGGCCAAGCCCAAAGATGGATCCATCAGCTTGATAATCAGTAGGATCCAGCTGAATTCCTGCCAACTATGTGACTTCGACCACATGACTTTTGAGTGAATATGAGATGGGAATATGAGATAGCCCAAGAGGAGCGAATATACCCATTAATGAGTGAGCGTGATGTTTCCGCATTTACCTGCACCCAAACAGCGGAAACTGGGAATGTTTAAGTAATAAGCGCATTTTACAGGCCTTTCTTTCTTCCTCCAAAATGCGCGTTGTTAGTATGTTTCTTTTCTTTTCCAAATTCAAATTATAAGAGGAGAATTTCACACACCTAACAAAAAAACACGGTTCTTAAAAATTAAATGCCTTGAATCGTGCTCTCCATACTACATAGTTGATGAACTTATATACACCCAACTGAACCGGCTTCACTGCAACTCTCACGCGAAGGCTTTCCGAACCCATTGCCAACCCATCACCGGATTTTCTTACGCAGCAAGGTTATGTTCTTAATCAAAATAGACCTTGCATGTAATCCTATCTGAATAACTTGCAGATGTTTTCCCTTCTGGACTTTTCCATATTGACTATGAAGTGGGGACTGGGAAGAAATCATTCAAAGTCATTTCTTTGGGCTTGGGGAAATAATATTTCTAGCATATAATTTAGTGCGGATCATGAAAAGGCTGTACCTGGCTATACATACCATTTCAGATTGCGCGGGCGGCCAGCAGGTTGTAGGCGTAGAATTAAAAGTATGGATCTGACCATCTCTCCTGATTCGAATGATGACAAACACGTCTGAGTTGAACCTCACACTGTATTTGGCGGCCATCTTGAACAAACTGTGTCTCCGGCGCCGTTTCTGTTGACTATCAGTACGCGGTGGCTTTGTCTGGCTTTGAAGCACACTGGATTCTCGATCATCCATCCCGATGAGTTTCTAAATGCTGGATTGTCTAAAGTTTCGACAAAAGCTCGGACAGAAATCCTCTTTTAACAAAAACATGCCAAAATTCTTCAGTCATACCGGTTTTATGTCATATGGTTTTGGCCCGCCACTTAGGAAACGGGCGGACTTGAATTCATGGAGTCCAGTGCCGAGAACTTGGTTGAAGCTGAATGCACAGTTCAACGTCAACCAGCGCTTTAAAGTACAAGGGCCTGAACCATGAACAGACTGTCTACGTTCTCACCTCGCTGATGTGAACAGAAATTGAACAAAAATCCCACAATCTAAAAAAACTACGGATTTGTCGTTGACCTTTACTCCGAGGGCCGTGGAAGCATGGAGAGCCCCCACATACTTGTCAAGAGCCCTTTAGGTACAGTGATATTCGAAATCAGTTTTAACGACAATCTCTCTCTTTGTTTCCCACTAGACCTTGCCAACTCCCATGGGACTAAGAAAATTTTGGTCCCATAACCTGGTCCCATCACTCCCATGGGACTACGCTAAACCTATCTAGGTAATGGAATTGCCTAAATAGGTAGTGATAATCTGCCTTGGCATTGATTTTGACTGCCAAGACTTTCTCATGGGAGTGGGTCCATGGGAGTTGGCAAGGTCTATTTCCCACAGGCTCCATCTCAAATGCGCTAGTCCTTATTTGGGAGTATTTCCGCCGCCTTGCGTTTGTATAAGATAGTACGACGACTATAAAACGCGTCGGAAGTGGTCTATCTAACAAATTAATAGTAATAATAACTAGTCCTATAAGAAGAGGACTAGGGTGCAAGTCGCATTTACCAGGAGGGCGCCGTTTCCGGCAACCCCCCACGTTGGGTTTAGCGCCCGTCCCGTGCCGCGCTGTTCTGGTTTAGCGTCGCTCCATCGGGTATGGTGTCTCGCGCTATCCCCCAACGGGAACTGCCGCCATTCCCCGCCATCGGGAGCCCTCGTCAACTATATAGTCTGGACGGTGCGTCGCTCGACCACCTCTCTCTCCTTTCCCACGGCCGTACGTTCTCCTCAGCTCGCGAGCGCGGACGCCACTGCTCCGGCCCCCTGCATTTCGGAAATGACCGTTCCCACAAGGAGTACTTCGCCCCCTTCGCTCCCCACTCGTGTCACTACGAAGTCGCTGGCATCCACCGACTGATTCGACATCCGCCGCGTGAGACGCTGATCTTTCCTACATGGAGGCATGCGACAGGGCTTGCGAGGTGTCCTCGTCTGCCTAAATTGGCCGCCCCCAAATGGTCTCCTGGCCATTGGGAGTTGCCTATTTCAGCCCGGTTCAAACCTCTTACAGCAATCTTTCCTATTTTGGGAACCGCATACAGCCCGTGTCTCATTTCCGAGGCAGGACTATGACCTTTCGATAGGCATGTGGTGTTGTCATCTGCTCGGCGCAGCGTAACCACCAATGACAAAAATGCCTCTTGCGTTCGCGGGTTCCAATCATCCGGTGTGGGCCCGAAGGCGCTCCGTTGATTCCCAACAGATGATCACTTGTGAGAAGGCTCTAGAGCGGGCTACGTGATGGTCCGTCGAACTGGCCGCGGAATTATCCGAATGATGGGTCAATTGTTGGGTCACATTCGTAACTATAACCGGACGATGCATCACTTGCAGGGGACTGTGCTGGTTTAAGAACCGAGATATTGCGGATTACGGCTCTGCGAGGCTGACGTGGAACTGCTCGCCATAGTTCACGGAAAAGTTAGAGGGATCAATCTAGGGAGATTGGTCTACGAAGGCGTCCGAACAGTCCGATGGAGCTGCGCAGAGTCGGTATGCTTGTGCATGAGATGACAGCCATGGTGATTGGCCATGGTCTCTGACCGAGGCAGATTCCGACAATGGAACTATCTCTTTGCTTGTTGGTCTAATTTCTTGTGGATCCCTAATGTAGCTCAGGAGACACGCTATAAATCTCGTAGGTCTTGACTGAGGATGCTGGCATGTGCAATCTCCGTGTGGCGATACGACGATGCAGCGGAGCTACTTGGCATTGTTTTGAGAAGTGATCTCGGATACTTTATAAGCCGTCCACCCTCCTTTTCCATTTCGCTGATCACTTTTCATTTGCCGTCTGTTGATTTGGCCGCCATGCATATCAGCCTTGACAACATTAGCTTCTACTCTCGCCCTCCTACAAAGTCCTCCTCGCCTGCGTTCCCTGCTTCCTGTTGGAGGGCCTATAATGCCTCTGTCACTCCTCAAACCCTTCCCCGTGCCCTCCCGCCGAGACCGTATCTTCAGGGAACGACCTTCAGCTCAGCATCTGGTGCCAGCACTGATGTCTCTCTGCAATCCCGAGATGCCGTGAAGGAAAATTTGGATTCACGTGCAGGCAGTGAATTTGATATCGAAATAGAGAGAGCTATGACGCAAAACAGCCAGGAAACGCACGAGACAGACTTGGATCTGCACCTCGACCCAGGGCTCCGAAACGAATGTCACACAGACGTGCCTGAAAGCGATCACACATACGTCATAACTGGTATGTCGGAATCATTGCTGAACCGCGATAAGCGAGCGTAGCTAATATCATCCACCAGATCATCCAGATATATGCCCTTTGTGAGAGTCTCGTGGTGACTTAGATACGGCTTTGATCCTGGCACAACCTCAGTTGCATCATGCAGGTAGGCGCGACTATTATCTTTCTGTTCGACTTATCTCGCTAACTCATACAAGACCCACTCATTGCCTCAACCGTTGCCCCAACTTGCCCCAACCGACCTGCTAAGATGGCGCCGAGATAATATCTCGTCGCTAGGAATTTATGATGAGACTGACAAGAGCCCTGCTCCGCCCGAAGTCAGCTTGACCTGCCCGCGTGTCTTGCCATCACCTCCGACAGATGTACCAGCACGGCCTAGCATTGAAACCATTATCCAAGATGAATCCGTCGTAGATGACACCAAGTCCGTGTTAGAAAACCTTGGAGATCAAACGGGTGTTATAAGGGATAGGGTGGCAACACAAATTGTCCAGGTCAATGAACCCTCAATCAGCGAGGCTATCTCGGATAATGGTGTAAGAGGCAGACTCACCGAGAGTCAAGCGCGTGTCTTCTCCCGTCTTGGGCCTCAAACTCGCTCTGTCAACCCATCGCAAGCCACACTGGCAAACTCTCCATCCTTTCGTCCACGACGAAAGGCAAAACCCGCCCGGCGAGAGCAATTTCCTGCAGTTTCCGTTGTCATCCCTGTCCGTTGAAACGATAAAGTGGTTGCAAGGGCCAAGAAGAACTCTCTAACTAGAATACGGCGGTGTAGGCGCTTGAGCGACAGCGACAACGACAGTGACAGCCTCGACAAAGATCGAGTAACCCGGACGTCGATGAGAAATTACTCACCGTCGTCAGGTGGACCTGGTTCCAAGGCAAGGGGGCGCCCACTAAAAACGTCGAAGAGGGCAAAGGGAAACGTCTTAGCCCCGAGCAATGATATCGTCAGAAAATGCCCTAATCAGTCCCAAACTCCCTTAAGGGGTGGTTTGGCTGTCCCATTAGATCAAACACAAGAGGTTTTCGGTCGCGGAGTTCTCCGTATCGAAACTCACGGTCCTCGACAAGCCTACTTTATGACATTCCTTCCAGAGGTTTCTCACCCCCCCTCTATGCCGTCACCGTCTGAAATGCCTCCTGAACAGTCTTCACAGCAGTCTTCACGCTTTCAGGATTATTCTCAGAACGCATCCTCGCGACAGGTGGGGCGCGGAAAACGCCATAAGCGAAATATATCTACAGCCTGTGAGGATGGAGACGGGCGGTCGACCAAGCTGCCACGACATTCGCCATCTCGTGATGGTCGCAACGAACCCCAGCGAAAGCGCAGGAGGCGCTTGCGGTGGTCTTCAGAAGAGGTGGATTTTTTGCTAGAGTTAAGAAGAGACGAAAAACGACCATGGTCGGAGGTGACGAGCTTATTTTTGGACCGATATCCGGGAAGAAGTCCTTCTGCGATCCAAGTATACTGGAGTACGTGTGGGCGTCGAGAAAGCAAGACTAAGAGCGCGCCAACTACCGTCTAAAACAAAGCATATGCTTCAACCGTCTCCAGTACATACCGCTAGAAACTACATTCTTGGGGAATACCTCCAATGTGGGACATATCCATATGGAAGTCACGGATCGGTAAAATCTCCCCTTCAGCGTAATACCTTATCGACAAGTCGTCGTCCATGTCGAAAGTCTGGCGGCGGCATACAAGACACGATTCGGGAACTAATCCTTCCTATGACCAACTAGAGGGATTATAAGGGCAGAAGTGAAGCTCATTTTCATTGCGTACTGTAGATGACAATTTTGGGGTGGCTGGGCTTAACTTTTCACAAGACTTGCTCGAAGACTGGCCCATTCCTTCTGTCGTATCGATATTGGGACTGATATGATTGGCCTCATGGCGAGGGCCCTAGAATATTAATATGACACCCCTCTTCCAGTACCCTTTGTCTTCGGGCTTTGATTCTCGTTTCTTGATATGGAAAGGAAAAAAAGAACACTCTGGAGGGAGAAGCATCTGCGCTCAGAGGCCTAGTATCACAATGAAGTAGAACACCCTCAAACAGCCAGGACAGGAACCGTAGTCGGTCTTCGTCAGAAAGAGCCGAATACTGAAAATAGCCTGTTGGGAAATAAATGATCTAGCGATGACCAGGCCCTTTGTCTGACCAACAGGAGCTATGTTTCGTACAGTATGCCTTTTCCTACGGTCAAGCAGCTTTCATTCTTTCGTTCAAAATTTGTGGGTACATATATCAATTGATTGAAGGCTCTGAATGCCTTATTTCTAAAGCTACAACTGACATTTAGCTGCCCGATACGCTTGGTTACAGTAGATTTCGAAAACGGCTTCCCCGTAGAACACTCACGGCTTGTTTCTCGGCCCGTACCCGAAACCACACTAGTTTGAATTTGGATTTGGTATTGACCATGCTTGGCTCACAATATATGTTAGCTTACCACTAGTCCGAATTTGGCCTAGTGTGGTTTCGGGTACGGGCCGAGAAACAAGCCGTGAGTGTTCTACGGGGAAGCCGTTTTCGAAATCTACTGTATAGATTTCGAGCGCCTGTGCGAACAAACCCATCGTCGTAGTTTCCGAGGAAGACCAAAAAAGAGGGACCGCAATGAAGACAAATTTTGACCCCAAACCTCTCCAAACGCAATAAACTGGTATGTTTTGTTCTTCTAACTACGAGACAAAACCCACCGGAACATCAGCAGAAAGCAAAACGGAAGATGCAGACATTGTGTTGAGAGATGGAAGTCAAACAGAGAGTGAGAGAACACAGCCCTCCGGAAAAAAGGTTCTGCCGAAGGAATGGTCAGCTGACATAAGCCAACTATACCAAGCCGATCTGGGAGGTTCCCATCAGCTCTGTTTCCTCACCCAACAAGTAGTCCCATCCAAGGCGCTCACATATCATTCAGCAAACCTTAAAGAAGTTCCTCGGCCAAAATGACAAAATTCTCTGCAATTGCAGAAAATCTTCCCGATGAGTCGATCCGAGAGATGAACTTTTTCGACTCTTCCTTCTTCAAAGAGCCCAGCAAAAGTCTTCCGACACCGGCGCAAGTGAGAGCTTTGTCGAAAGATATTCACGCGAACCCTCAGCCACAGCCTATAATCTTTGAAGAGCCCAGAGTCTTCGTCAAGTTTGGCCCTTATGTCACGATAGCAGAAGCGCAGTGTCTTTGGATGATCAAACGGGCTTTTGGTGACGAAATTCCAGTCCCCGAAATTTTTGGATGGCGAGTCGACGAGGAGAACTATGTGTTCCTCTATATGGAACTTATGCAAGGACAGACGCTGCAGGATGGCTGGAATGGGCTCAATAGCCTGGACAAAAGCTCACTCTGCGATGAGTTATGTCAAATAGTCAACCGTCTGCGCCGACTTGAACAAGATCCTTCCGATCAGTATATTGGTACGCCCCAGTCAAAACGGGAATGATATTTTTTGCATCTAATCGGAAATTTTCAGGTTCCATAAGTCACCAGCAACTCCTGGATTATGTTTTCCAATCATGCCCGAAAACCGGGCCTTTCTCAACCGTCAAGGATTTCAACGACTGGTTTTCCTACTTACCGCAATTATGGCTTCCTCCTTCGAAGAAATACAACGACAGGCAATTTTTACCGGACGGTGGAGTCATTAAATTTACCCATGGCGACCTCCACCGAGGGAACATCATTATCTCTTCCAGCAAACCAGCTCGAATCCTTGCTATCGTGGACTGGGCACAAGCGGGATGGTATCCAGACTACTGGGAGTACTGTAAGGCACTCTACACTTGCTGGTACGAGGACGAGTGGCGACGAGACTGGGTCGACAACTTTCTGAGCCCACGCTTGCGAGAATTTGAGATCTTCGCAGAGTACACAATGGCAATGGGCTCGGTGTGAATTACTTCTGCCTGAGAATGAATGCTGCTTACTGATGGGATAAATCAGTATAATCCGGGGTAAAAAAATTAAAAATAAAAAAATAAATAGTAGTCAAACTATGGGACTTACATCATTGACAGGTGCCATGAAGTTCTGACTGATCCCAGGAGTCGGGACCTGAGACGCAGCAATCTCAATGTTGCCTCTGGGAGTTGAATCTTTGGTCATCGCTGTGTCCACGGAGTCGACGATATTGGACGAATAAACTTGACCAATCGGAAAAGTCTCGTGGCGCTGTTGGGTCATAGCAGGAGAGTAGTTCCGTTTGAACTCGAGGATATAGCCTGCCATGGGTGCACCGACAGCGTGGATCAGAGTCCCTCGTTTGGGTTCTGTTGCCGATGGAACAAAAATTGCAAAGTGCGCTCGTTGAGATGAAACATTGCGAAAAGAGATGAGGTGAATAGTTCTGGTGGCCATGACGTTGTGAGATCCTTTATTTTCTCCAGATTGAGAGGATAGAATGAAGATATGGCATGAGGTATAGTAAAAAAGCCCAAGAAACGAACAAGGTCCCTCCCTCCTCTTATACCTTTCGATCAGAGCATATTTTAGGAGTAAGTAGGAGTCCCAAGCAACATTACCAGGCGCTTCGAAGGGGAGCCAGGTATCACCTTCGTTTGATATGCACGATAATATCAATTCTGAGCATTGGATTCCCGAGAGTTAGAACCCTATTCAATATTGGCGCTGCAGAGTTGGGGTGGCAATGCTGGAACTTTGAGTCGTCAGTTATTTTTAGATGAGGACCACTGCAGTTACGTACTGCTAAGCTACTGGCTCTCAGTTGTGTCAGGGGACAAAGGCTGATATGGCTGGCCAGAGTCGAACCAAGCAGAGCTGCAGCTTGGGGTGACTCGCCAACCAACGTAGCCGCCGGCCAAAATAACGATGTGAAAGTTCATGCATTAGCGCGAGGCTGAGTAGTTCACATGAGAAACACAGCGGATACCCATTGAGTTGACAGCCAAAATGCTGTCATCACTTGGAGCCTACCTTGTGAACTGGCATGTTTGGTATGAGCGGGGACGAATGGCGGGCGCTTCGGCACGAGATTACTTCTCTATCACCTAAGTCGCTTGGAGACATTATGCAATGACTTTGATCAATGATATCGCAAATGATATCGCACAATTTCCTGATAAACGAAAAGGCAAGCTTAGCCAGACATGCCCACTGCAGCCATTGCCACTTAAGGTTGTAGCAACCAAGGATTACGCTGCCACATGATTGGGAACGAAATTCGTATTAGAAATATTCATGTCATATCTGCTCAATTTGTCGAACATTCCATCCAATCGTAACACCCTCTTTGTCCAAATTACCTCATATATAACTTGTGGGATTCATCAGGAGTGCCCGCGAAAAAAGAACGATTCAAATAGTGGATGTAACAGTTTTGGATAATCATTCAACGCTTAGAATCCTTCCGTAGCTTCTCGCAAATTGTAAGAAAAGTGGTCAAAGCCGTGAGGCTAAAATTATCACCGAAGGGCACTAGGATTTGTAGTGTCCCGCATTTAGTTGAGTCGGTCGTAATATCATGGACTATGGCAGCCACTGTATCTGTCTCTTCATCCACTAGCATCAGCCTAGATGTACGTTTCCAGATGAAGAGTCGGGGTCCGCTGGCGTTGGACAAACTACCACTTGCATGTGGGGGGAAATACACCAACGTTGTAAATCGATATTGGATAGAAATTGGTGTATTTTGATACAAAGTTGAATATTCTTGCGCATCCCGTCCGCCTACACATCAGGCTCTGGTGTGGTCGCGTCGGAAACAGGGCATGTGGCCAATCAGCTAGCACCACCGCCCCGCCTTGACTGAAACGGACCATGGTCAATTTTTGTTACTCGTCTCTCCAACATCAAGAAAAGGAATGACAGACTCTGCAGAATATACGAATAAAAGGTGATTTCTAGACTATGAACCCATTCAAACAGCATCCGCGCATCCGTTATTGTACCTCCAGCTTTCCACTGAAATTCGTAATAATCCGTGTTGTTTTCCTACTCAGGCTGATATTCCAGCTCTGACAGCTCAACGCCCTGGTGGAGATAGCCTCTTGCAATGTCGCGTAAGCGATCTCTGAGACCATCACTTGCGGAAACTATGTGAATATTAGAAGTAGTGATGGCCATGACTTGATGGAAATCTGCTTACCCATTACAAGAGTTCGACCTGGCTCATCCGGGATGTTCGGCAGTCTCTTTATCTGACTCCCAGATGCTTCGGTTGCGATTATTTTGCGATAATCAGGTAAGCCCTGATAATAGCATATACTTTCATGTTTTCCAACCGGTGTTCTGCTATTTGCAAGACCGTGCTCTACGTAAATGGATATGATGAGTATCTAGTGTAGTATTTCGTCAGTGACAAGGACAAACTCCGTGGAAGATTCAACCAACATAACCCTTATCCATGATATCATCTTCAAGGACATCATCGATCTGCTCTTCGACCGTGCTCACCATTTCTTCCTCATTAGCTTCGGTCGGACGAAAGACCGTGGTAAATGCACATACCGATGGAATCTACCTGCCAGACCAGATGCAGTCGGCGAGTATGGGACGTACATGTATTGTAGCCATGAATCATTTTCTTGAGATACGGGATCGAAGTCGCGATCCCAAATCCGGTCGCAATTATCAGGGTGGTTTCGTAGGGATCGACGTCCTCGGTGAGTCCATGAGGTCCGGTAAATAAGGCTAAGAATGATACCGAGCTATCTGTGGGAAGCGCACCATGGCGTACGAGATCTGCAGAGAAGCCATTTCGAGGTTGCACAAGTAGCTTCAAAGTATCCTGTCTACCCCTGGACCAGGATGTGATGATGAAAGGGTGCGTCTGAGTCCATGACCACCAACTTACCGACGGCATCCAGAGGTTGATGTATTGACCAGGCTCAACATGCAGTGGTCGAGGTAAAATTATTTGGATATTTGCAGCTGTGGTTCTGGGGTGGCTTTCCCCTGGCATTTTTTTACTTGAGAATGATACAAGGGCTCGAGGAGCACCACGGCCGGAAAAGACCCCGTTGCGGTATAAATGGATCGCCAACTCCAGAAGCGTTGTTAGCCCCAGGATTGTCAGTGCCACATAGACGTACAGTCTCGCTGAGCTGGTGTGGGTGGGAAAATGCTGCCAGGTGCCATAGACAAAAAGTCCGGCAAGTATCTGATGGCTTCGGAGAAAGATTTCATAAGACCAACGATGAAAGTATGGAATGGAAAACAGAGCTAGGATACCGAGTGCAGAAGCACCCTACGTCTGTCAGCAAGGCCAAATCCACAATGTATTGAGAGCGGCGCATACGATAACAGTGAGCAGATTTTGTGTCTCAGTGAGAGGAAACCTAAATGTTTTGCCTTGAAGTTCGGCGATAATGTGGAATGACAGCAGAGCAATAGCTGTCCAACCGATTGCTCGATGGATCTTACGGCAAGTACGCCAGTTGATTCCAAGCAGTCCGGCCAGGAAACCAAGGTGGGCGGCTGATAGAGGAAAGATCATGTTGATGAGGGCTAGCTCGCCTGCCCGGCGGCCCGAGTCTACTAGCGACTCGGTACGCAAAAAGACCAGAGCGATGTTAACGGCGATGTAAGAGACATGAACGAGGATACCAGCTCGGGTCCATGGTCCAAGGATTCGATGCCTACGAACAAGGACAGGGAGGGTCAGATGTCCGGAAAGTAAAACAGAAAATGATTCTGTCCAGTCAACTAGGACATGGCGGGTTTGTATCAGAAACAGGGCCAGAAATATGCCGCCCGCAGCAATCGCGTAAATGGCAGGGACCTCCATACTATATGGAGATGTAACGATGTGATTGCGATTTCGAAGGAAAGGAGGAGGGAAGGTTTACTTGAGGGAGATGAGAGGATAAGCGCCATTTTATGTCATGAACTGTCACTTAGGAAGCCTTCGCTGCGGTGGGCCTCCCTGTGGGAAGAGGGTGGCAGGGGGGTGCACCTCAGTTAACTGCCATGGCCCTCAGGGACCCGGTTGGGAATATATAATGGGCTGTTCTAGCTCGAGCCAAATCTCAGCAAAGATATAGCCGTAAGCGAAGCTTGTTCAAAAAAGCGAAGGAATTTTTCTTGGAATGTGAATCCGATGTCTTTGTGGCCGTCCGAATCCCAAAAAATGGGCAAATATATATATATGATTCCTCCATGCAGAACCAATGGCTCAGAGACCTTTCGAATCGTTCAACTCTCCCAGGATTTCTCGGAAGCAGTGGACGCTGAAAAGTATGCAATGCGCAAAATGACTGGTTTTCTCGGCTGGGATTCTGTCAACGTAGCACTAATGTGACGAGAAACTCCTGATGTCGTGAATTCTTCAAAAGGTACTAAATGAAGCATTAATCGTTGATACCCCCTCGTGTTCTATTGGGGCCGAGTGCTTTTGTCAGTACTTGAAGTTTTTGGTTCTACTGTCATACACGTAAGACTCGATTTATTTCTAAATCTCGGTTATAACTGCAATGAATGTCACATTTGAATGCCCTCTTGTCTCAACTGTTTCCAAAGACCTAGGACTGTGCACCCTGCTCCCGTCCTTTGCGCTGTATTCCCATTTTAATTCGGTGTGTACGAGTAGAACGTACGGGCGGATATCAGAGCAAACCAAGCAAGGCCGATGAGGTCGCCGAGACACCATCGAGTTCCTGTCAAAAATGGTTGCTTAAGAGCTATGAGTAATTGCAGAGCGAGGTAACTGGGTAGGTCACAAACATTTTTCAGTTCTTCAAATGAGCTGGCCGAGGTAATCGCGGAAAGAAATTCTATAGCAGCTGGGCAAGCTTGCCAGCGCTCAAGATTATCAATCCCGACTGCCCCGTCGTCCTTGACGTACTTTTGCATCAATTCCATCATAATTCTCGACGCAGGTGCTAGATCCCTCGCTTGGGCCCGGCCTATCTGCCGGGGAATACAGCAGTCAATCCGCGCTATTCATTCCGTCAGGCAACGTTCCCAAAGATGTGTTCACGCCTTCGGCTTACCGATCTTGACCTCCCCACTAAGATTCATGAGGACGCTAGAACAATCCAAAGCAGGATGGCAGAAGCCCTGGGTTACCAAATGCGCCAGTCCTTCCAGAAACTGCACTCTGTCAATCATTCGTTCTGTGCGAAGACTTTAGGGCACAAACCTGGGACATGATAGCAGCCAGCTGTTGCTGATCTGGGAAAGCTTTGCAAGCAACAATATGGTCCAGTGACAGCGGGTCAAACTCGCCGAGAGTGTACAGGGAATCAGAGGTGCGAAAACATTCCCGGACGGAAGCAACATTCTTGTGGTTTGTCAAACGGATAACTTCGAGGATTTTGTCACAGTCCATGCTTGAGAATCGACGAATCGCCCGTGCAACACGCCCATCGGAAGCCCGGACGCATACAATAACTGTTCCAGCTAGATCACATTCGTAGGATTTCTTGTAAGTATCCCAAGGTGACTCATTCCGTACATTAAAATCCGAGCCAGTATGGGTGTTTGCTTGAAGAGCCAAGGCTCGTGGTGCACCTCTGATGAGCTTGCCGCCAGGCTCTAGGGGTGAGGATGGAGGGGTTTTAGTTGGGTGGGAATTGGGAACGAAATTGCCAGGCTTTGATTTGGGGTCGGAAAATTGCGATACTCCTTCATTCTCGGATGGAAGCTGCGGCAGCAGTGCAACCTGAGAAGGTTGGACTCTTGTGGCTCGCTTGTCAGCATTCGAATTCATGATGAAGCTGCTCATAGTTCAATCCAGGTGAGAAAGTAAAGAAAGGATAGCTTTGCAAAACACTACTTGTCGTGGTCTTTTAATGGCTCTCTGGCGTGATGTACTGCGGGTCACTGAGGGGCCCTGCAGGGGTGTGACAACAAAGAAGTACCCCGCTAGGCAGATTGGCTGAACTTTGCCTGGGTACAGTAGAATTCGAAATCAGATTACCCCTTGGACACTCACGCTTTCTTTCCCAGCGCCCCGCTCCGATTGCGCTAAACCGGATATGGTCAGGGCTAGTCCCCACCACCTTTTGTTAATGTATTTCTGGTAGATCATCCAAATTACGGTAATTACACTTTCCGGCATTGGACAGACCGTCCTTGCCGAAACACCCGCGACCATGATGTACCATGTTATCGTTCGCGAGGTCAGGGTAAACAAAATCATCTATCCATCCATCCCATCCATCCGTAGTGACCGCGGCGAATTAGCCAAGAATTCTCGTCTTTATTTTAAAAATCCTGTTTCTATCCTTCGCATCCAACATTTGTTGGAATTGATAGACCGCTCCCGACCGTCAAGCTCCTTGACTCAATGAAGGACTTGGGGGAATTATCTCATCACTCTCGGAATCTGAGCCATAAATTGCACGTCCTCTGGCTCTCCGCTCAGCCTGTACCGCGCGCAATCGATCCCTTTCCTGACGTGCTCGGTCAGCCTCCTTACGTTCCTCTATTGTCTTCGCATTCCGCTGACAGACTTGGCACACAGACAAGGGTATGCCGTTCTCTAAAGCACCCGCTTGAAATTTTCGACATCGGAGGCAGATAACATTATGTTCCCCAAAGATTTCAATGTGGTTGCCAGCCGTGTATCGATTGGTGCCTGGGCGCGGGTCGATGCCACAGTCCACGCACCAGCGATCCCTCGCATCGCGTCCCCACTTGGATTTCTCCTTCTTTATCATTTTATCCCCGAATTTTGCCCTTGGTCGCAGTCTAAGACAATCTCGACAAGCGTACAAGTTGTTCTGACGTCCGAAGTCATCGGTTTCCGCCTCTATCAACTTCGCATGAGTAGGAGACGGTATTGATTTGCGGATAGCCCAGCACGAACGTCGCAGCCAAATGAGACTAATCGCATCAAGTATCATACATACAGTATGATCTCGGTTGGCAGATCGCGGATCGTGGTGGTTCGCGACATCGCAGGAGTAGTTATGTGTGGGTCCGTTCAAGTGTTGGGAGGGGCAGAAATAACGAACAATTGCCGCACGTAAATACAGTATATAGTATGGTTTTGTCGATATGTTTCGTACTTCAAAGAGGTATAGGTTAGGGAGATTGAGTTAACGTCACACCGGGGCGGGGTGATTTATTGTTGGGCTGCATAACCACATGACCGCTCGAGTCCTTTAGTCGGCAAGGGTGGTCTGTCCAATGCCGGAAAGTGTAATTACCGTAATTTTAATGATCTACCAGAAATACATTTACAAAAGTGGTGGGGACTAGCCTTGACCAGATTCGGTTTAGCGCAGTCGGAGCGGGGCGCTGGAAAGAAAATCTGTTTTCGAATTCTACTGTAAGTATAAATGAAGCTCGATCCTGTGTTATGCCGTGAGACCCTATTTTTCCCTGTTGCTTTATCTTGCAATGAGCCGCGCTCTGTTTACCGAAGAAGAAGTGCAACTGGCAAGTGAGCGGCGACTGAAATATATTGGAACAGCGAAAGTCAGCATTAGTCAAATCCAATTCGATCCTCCTTTGCCTCGGGATCTAAATTCTAAAAATCTGGATCGACTTCGCAGGGTCTTCCGCCAGAACCGTTGTCGCCGTCTGGATGTTGACAATCATGTCCCTGCTATCGTGTCGCCACATGATCTCGCCGATGCGTTGAGGAAGGCCAACATATCACAGCAGTCACTATTGACGACGGATGCTAGTCAACTACCCAGAATTGGTTTTCTGGAAGGGCAGCTACTTGGGCTTCATGGTCGTCACCGCGTCCAAGCCGGAGCTGAGGTGCTACCTCCGGCTGATCGTTGGTGGACGGTGGATCTTTACTCAGATGGTAACTATGTCAAGAACAGATGGCTAATCATGTGCTGACAATCATGGTAGATATTGGTGCAGAGCTCAGAACTTCCTTGGTGGAGGAATATGCCAACGAAAGGAAGCCGACCGACGGTGAAATCTATCGCAAGATTCGACAATACGAGGGCGATTACGATGAAACTTTCAGGGAGCGATGGTTTGTACGTCTATCGCGCAGCAGCCAAGAGCGTTTGGATCAGTTGGACAATAAGAAAAACCGCCGTGTTCGAGGTGCCTTTGACAGGCTACTAACGATTCCTGGGCTTTGGCCGGGTGGGATGAGGATCAGTGTAGTTCACAGACTGATAGCCTCCGGATGTGTTGAAGTGAGATTCAGAAAACCGCCTTTCTTCAACCGTGCTAATCGAACGCTTTGTCCATCGTAGGAGACTATAACTTATCTACATCATATCTGGGACTTCTGGTCCTCCTTGGTTGCTTCGGACCACGCTTCACTCAAGAAGATCGATCAGAATACTGTGGAGTTCCTGCAGCTGCTGGCACCTGGTAAATCACTTACTGATGGGAAAACAGCCTGTGGAATGATCCTGAGCGGCCAAGCATTCGCTGAGTTTAGTGACGAAGAGCGACGGATCATATGGTCCCGAATGCAGAATTTTGATGGCCTGATCCCGTCTTTGTATACCTTTTTCGAAGACTTCAAGTACCTGGAGGCCTGTGCCCACTGTGTCAAGCGGCTCTGTGGTCCGATCGATATGTCGATCTGGAGAACCATGAGTTCAATATTCATTTCACCCTCAGAAGAGGGAACCGCGACTGCAGGGGCAGCGGATTCCCTCATCCAGACCTCCGAGTCTACTTTCCGATGCCAGCCGGCAACTGATATGGAACGCCTCGAGACAGGATATTTACAAATATGGCTTTACGCAATGAGGCACTATACGTTGATGCCCCCGGACCCAAAGAGCGATGACGAGCTGTTGGCAAAATCATCTCGTGCCAAGCCCGATGAGAGGGCGATTTACGAGATGGCTGAACTCGCTCACCAGCTTGGCTTTCAGTCCACTGAAATCGATGCACTGATCAAGAGTTCACCCGATCATCAGATCGCACGCTCAGCTCTCCTACAAGCCCGAAAACCTAACAGGTATCGATACGATAGCCAGGATTTTGATATTTTGGTCAATCAGATCGTGAGCTGTTTCGCCAAGGCTGTTTCCGACCGACCGGAGCAGCCTCAGGGTCTTCTGGCGGATAGCGCAATGAAGCTAAAGACTCGTGCTGGGGAGCCACTAACACGGACTCACAAGCAAGATGGACCCTTGCTGTTCTTGGACCGTTTGCACGCTGATGTTGAGGTTGCCGACAATGTCACCAGCTTTTTCGTCCGCCGTTGTGTATATTTTGCTTTTTTCGGAAAGTCTGCACGGGTTGCGATTAGCAATGTCAACCAAGCTGAGGACACTGGTCCAGATCAAGGAATGGGGGAGATGCCTCCTTCGCCAATGTTCGTCGAAGAGGACGACCCCCCTGTTACTCATACGCCCGCACCAGACCCCCATCCACCTCAAGAGAAACAGGGGGAGCCACGGGAGCAGATAGCTGAAGTGATTGTAGGACGAGGAGGCAGTGAAAGTCAGCAGCCATTGCGGACGGACCAAAAAGAAAACGCGAAGCGTCGACGGCGAAGATTTCGTATACGCCGAGCTGTCTCGCGCCTGGTGGGGGATATGGACCAAGAGCCAATGGAGTTGGACCTGCCAAATGTAAATCATGACCGGGTCATGTTAGACCAGAGCAGTTCGCCTGAAGAAAATTCCATCTCAGTCGGGCCTCAAAGCCAGCCGGATCCGGTCGAACCAGCGACGGTTATCACGCAATCTTCCCATGTCTCTGCTGTGCCGGATGTTGAAGATAGTAGGAGTGACTGCATACGAGTCTCTTTGGACGCAGTTCCGCATGTGGAGGACCTGGAAGAGCAAACAATGGTCGAAGAGGCTGATAAAGACGATGCTCCTAATGACCAGACACGGGTCGATGGTAACGTACGGCGAGTTTCTCCCGAACCAGAGGCAAACAATTCCTCAGTAAACAGTCAACCCCCACAGGAAAATTTAGATGAATTCCTTGCCAGTTTGAGGAGAGCCGAGAAGGAACAGGAGCAATTGGAAGAGAGGTTGGAAAATGAGCGGCCGAATGAAGAGTCTGACTTACCAGGGCAGCCGCCTGACGTGACTTCTCGACTAGAAAACAGGCAGGATCCATCATCGTCGAGCTCTGAAAAACCACAGGAAGAGTCTGCGACTGGGGAAGTCTTGGCTCTTGCAGCTTCTTTAGAGACCACCACCGACGAGGCGCCAGCAGAACATGTCCACCCAGGATCGCCGGACCCCGTTGTAGATCACCCACCCCCTCCTCCAGCTGTCGAAGATCTGCGTGCCCATACACCCTCCGCAGCCGATCATATACCATCAAGGACGGCCGAGGAGCGGGTCCCTCAAAATCACATTGAGATCCAACTCTGGTCCCTTGAACGAGGAGAGTGGAGACAGTCTGAACGTCTCCGCATAGATCCGTCGAATCCATCGTTGATGGAACGAGTGGCGCAGAAGTATTTATCGAAAAATTTTTCACTGTACGATAAGGATTTACACAACCTAAGGCCGGCTCAATGCTACCGCGCAGCGACTGCTGATGGCAACAACGCCTTATTTGTGGCGTCCGAGTACGAGGAAAAGGAGCTGGCGACGACTGAAGATCGACTTGTAAAGGAGAAGAACCTTCTGTGGATGGCATCTCGAGTCTTAGACCGGGTAGAGGGTGGAAGGTATCCTAAGTTCTCATGAGATACTCCTTTCAGATCCTTAATAGACCTATGTGGCTTGAAATAAGAGCGTACTACAGATAAGACGTATGGCACCCCGAGAGAAATATAATAAGAGTGGTACTGGGTTGAGAGACTCCTTTTGTGTCTATGATAGAGCTATGTAGAGTATCCTGGAAGTGGTAACATGAAAGGACGTTGACAACAGACTATTTTCAGATAGTTCATTCCAAGATTGAGGGTCACTTGGAAGGCCGCGAATAAGAGACCTCTTTTGAGATTGAGGGTCACTTGGAAGGCCGCGAATAAGAGGCCTCTTTTGAGAGGTCTCTACTCATGGGAGAATCCTCTTGAGAGGAAATTAGTCACAGTACGTCCCACCGAAGAGCACCGGCCACACAGAAGGGAAAACGTCCTATGAGCTGGCTCTTGGTACTACTTCTCTCCTAGTCCAATCGTTCTAGGCTTAACCCGGTCTTGAAATAGTCTAGAGGCCGCAGGAAATGCGCACGACGATTCTCAGCCAGATACCCACGCTGTCCCAGTGAGGGCTGGTGTCATTGGCTTATCAGCTGAAGGGTGAGTCCCCGCAGTGGCATTCGATTCGGTGGTGGTCTGCACCCCTCCAGCAGCTGGAAGGCGACTTTCCTCCTAGGAAGAAAGATATATTTCCTCGGTGGGTGTTGGTACATTGTAGTAGTTCCGTCCGGTGCGCCGTCCATTTTTGACATCGAAATAGGAAGTGCTCCACGGTCTCTCTCGCTTGTCCACACGCACACTGGTCCGTGTCTGCTACGTTGATTCGATAGAGATATCCATTGAGTCTTGCCATGTTGGTTCGGAGTTGAGCCAGCACGCTCCTTATGTTGTACAGTCGGTAGCGAAATCAGCTTCCGGGCCACGAGCCGTTCTGCTTAAACATTTGCCGGATGCAGAAAGTCTGGATTGTGTGATTGCTCGCAAGACGTTGTTCACTAAGTTATGCGGTTTAAGATCTACGAGAGATCCAAAATTCCACTTGTCCACCATCGATGATGTTATGCTTGTTGCATTCCGCATGTCCGACCATTTGAGATGCAGTAAAGGCTTCGCTCTCTTCCGTATCACGGATAAAAACAAACTTCAAATATGACAGTCTTGGAGCCATAACGACGGAACTAAGGTGGGTTTTGTGGGAAGATCGATACCTGCATCTGTCGTGCAGGAAGTCACAACGGTAGAAGGGATAAGAAGGTAGGTGTATGGCGATTTAGTGTAAGATACATTCCTTATGGTATAGTATCATGTACGTATCAATAATACAAAAACTATTACGGAAAGCGGACCAG